CCATCAAAAAATTAATGGTCCTTCCCTTACCAACAATAGAACTTTGTAGCTTCGTATGCAAATTGCCCATTTCAGATCACATGACATTCCCTTGAGAATTGTTCTTTTATGATAAACTTTTTAAAAATTTCAACACATGAAAGAATAGACTCCCAAGAGTGACATCACAAGGTCTATAAGTAAGAGTTAATTACTGAGAACGGAGGCAATAAGCCATATACATCCCGAGGGTCGCTAGGTATTTTATTTATCAATTGAGAAGGTTTTCTATCAAATGTTGCTCATTATAAATGCGAAGTCTACATATAGTTATTAGGCAGATTAAGATTCCCGTTTTTCCTTCCCGCAAACGGCAAACGTGACCACGTTTTCATTGTTTCCCTACATTTCACTTTACCTTTTGCAAACCTTCTCGACAAAGACAAGTATTCTTTTGTTTATCTACTACTTGGAGATTTTTGCGATTCCTTTTCACTAATTTTAAAGAATTTTTTCACTAGAATGTACGCACTAAACCCGTGAATAATATTCAGTACTAATTGGTAGTAATTCATACAGAATCCTTTGTTTCCTATTGTTTGATTAGAGTTTGATTAGAGTGCAATAGATATTAGACTAATACACTTTAGTAGACCCTAATTCCATTGTTTTCTTTTGTGTCTATTTGACTATTACACGTTGACTAGTATTTTTTATTTCACGGGTTATATGCCTTCGCTCTATCACTATTTAGTACTAAAAGCTAGTATTTGTTTCACTCTATCATAGTCATTGTTATTGTTTTTGTTGTTTGGCCACTAGGCATTCGGTCGGTCGGTCGGTTGGCTTGCTCCATTGATCAATTGATTGGTCGATCAGTCACTTACGCTGTAGTAGATCGACTGGTTGACTGATAGTTGCTTAAGGCCTGCTGTATGTTAATGACAACTAGCTTAGCTTTATTTCAACATCATTTATTTCAGAGCGACACAGAAAAGGCTTCAACTGCTGCCAAGAAAGATGCTGACAAACCAGCCCCTGAGACTACAATGGATAAAGGCAAGACAGATTCTACTAAAACTACCCCTGAGCAAGGCGAAGCTGGCAAAGAATCTGAACCTGCAGAGAAAAAGAAGGCTAGTACTGTACGTCCAATAAAGAAAAGATACAGGGCAGGGCAGAAGAAAGATGACGAAGCAACAAAGACTGCTGATGACGAGAAGAACGAAGAGAAAGAAAGTGAAAAGAATGGTGAAGAAAATAAAGAGAAAGAGAAAGAGGGTGAGGATAAAGCTGATGGTGATAAAGAGGATGGAAAGGAGAAGACCATGAAGTGTCCTAATTGCAGCGACGCATTCTCAACCAAGGAGGAGTTAGAGGAACATTCTAAGACTCACAACAGAAGAAAACGTGGAAGAGCACCCATTAAACATACCCCGGAGACCCCCCCTGTTTCCCGTCCAAAACGGGCCAAGAAGCCTGAGTCCGAACAGGGGAAGGAGGACAATTCTATTCAGTGCGAGGTCTGTGGTGAATCATTTTCTGCCGAGAATAAACTCCGTAAGCACCTGACGACTCATAATGTCAACAAACGGCTACATTGTGATGGCTGTAAAGTACCATTCGCATTCCAGTACCAGCTGGACCGGCACGTGCGTAGGAACACGGGGGAGGAGCCTTACAGCTGTGACCACTGCTCCGAGACCTTCAAACTTCGTTGCCACTTCAACTACCATCTTCGTCTTCACAACCCCAAGAAGATTCACCAGTGCGAGCACTGTGACAAGACCTTCAATACATTCGCCAACCTAAAGGGCCACATCCGCATCCACACCGGCGAGAAACCTTACAAGTGTGAGTTTTGCGAGAAGGCGTTTACAGAGTACAGCAGCTTAGCGAAGCATCGTCGCGCACATACCGGCGAGAGGCCATTCAAGTGCAACCTGTGTGTGAAGAAATTCTCGCAGTCTGGTGGCTTGAAGGTTCATATGCGCGTGCACACGGGAGAGAAGCCTTATAAGTGCGGGGAATGTGAGCGATCCTTTGCCAAGGGGTACAACTTGAAGACTCACATGAGGACGCATACCGGCGAGAAGCCATACAAGTGTGAAAACTGTAGCAAGGTGTTTTCCCAGCACAGCACCCTCGTCCAGCACATCCGTCGACACGAGGGGAAGATCCCTAAGACCAAGACCACCACGGCACAGCAAACCACAGGAAACCCAGAGACGGACATAGTAGAAAGCCATGAAGAGACTCCAGTCCACGAGGAGATGGAAGCACAAGTCATTCAGCAGGCTGAAGTGCCGGAAGCCAACGTGCAGGAACAAGAGGGCGTCATAGAAGCACAGGCTCAGCAGGAAGTGGAGGCGACGAAGACGATCGAGACAGCCGCTCTGGTTGCCCTCCAACATACGGTCCCTCAGCAGCCCAATGAAGTCGTACTAAACGGGAGAACCGAAGCAGAGCAAGTGGCTGCTCTACAGGAAGCCACCCAAGCAATACAGATGCTTCAGATGCAACAGCTTGTTCATCAAGTAGAGGAAGTCGTGTCACAGACAGGTTTTTCTTAGTTATCTAATCCTTATTTTATCCGCACTTTAGTTAGAGACACTCGCAAATTCAGATATTTCCGTCCGTGCACCAACGTTGCCCCGGACGTATTACCCACTCTGAGGTTGAAGAAAAAACTGGGTCGAGTTGGCATTGCAGTGCATTGTAGGGCTGTTCTAGCGGACAAAATAGACGCCATCTTGGAAATATGAAACCCTAAAACAGTCCCACAATGCACTGCAATGCCAGCTTGACCCAGTCTTTACCTCAACCTCGGAATGGCTAATTCTACATGGGAACAACATAACATAGGACTACTGTTGTGCAATAGGATAGAACGTTAGCGTGAACCAACTCTGACCCTTGTGGGATCCCATCAACTTCTATAAAGTGTTTTCACTCACGTCACATGGCAGCCATATTGATTTACCAAACAATAGAAACTTTCTGCTCAAAATTTGCATAAAATAGAGTTCAATTCCCAGAGGATAGAAAATGTATTGTTTTGGTACACTAACATGGCCACTGTGACGTCACGTGAAAACGCTCTAGTCATATATTTTGCACATTTTAAAACTGTTTTTCTCATATGTACAGGGTACGTGCTACTCCTTAAACTCCTTGAATTTAATTCGCGTTTTCAAGGGCACTTGAAAAGCTCTTGAATTTTACGATTTTAGCAAAACTCCTTGAATTTTTGCTTCGATCATTACTTGCATAGTTCTGAAATAGATCTAGTCAGAAAGATCAGAAAATCTGAAAGTCGGCCATGTCCAACCACCGTGTAAAACCTTGGCATAGTTAACTGAACATAATCCTTGAAAATTCATTTTTGGGTCCTTGTATACTCCTTGAATAGTCCTTGAATTTTAAGTTGTTACCTCAGCACAAACCCTGAATCGTAATTGTCATCTTCATTCATTTTAGTGGTGTGTTGGCCTGTTTATTGACCAACATTAGTTAGACTAATTTAAAGGGTGTTTCTGGCAGATACTGGGTGGCGTGCAAGTAACCCCAGCACACGCTAACTCCCAACGATCCCGAGAGAGGGGGATTGGTTGAGGGGTAGTAGAGAGCGAACCGAACCATCACAACACGTCAAAGGAAATCCTTGATAGAGCGCATGCAGTAAAACTATGAAAAAGCAAAAAATCAAAAAAAAAGTTGATACTGATAAATAGCTATTTAGCGACAAATAGTTGCTAGCAATCAACCAGAACTTTCATCATACAAAGACATACACAAGAGACCATTTGTGTCTTTTGTTTAATGAATGTTCTGGTGGAGTAATAGTAACTATTAGTCACTAAATAGCTAATATTTGTCAGTATCAACTTTGTTTTTATTTCATGGTTTAACTGTATGTGCTCTACCCTGCAGTACCTACAATTATTGTATACCATTATTATTATTTAGTTTTTTATTAGTAAATTGTAGTGGGCGTCATGATCTGCCTCTTTATCCAAAAGCATGTGAAAGCAGATCACTTGTGAATTAAAAAAACAACTTTTTAAAATCTCGTGTTCTGATTGGTTGGGAACCGTGCGTTATGAGAGCGCACAGCACGCGCGCGCACTTAGTTCTATTAAGTTCATATTTCTTCAACAAACGTCTTGGTAAATCTTTATTCAATATTAAATGCTATTTTACAGTGCAAAGTTTTATACAAGGAATCTTTTTAAAATAATCATTGTTGTTCCTGTCTGGCTTGATCGATCTTCTTTTTCACCCCAGCACAGTTCATTGTCAGCTCAGCGTGTGTCATTTTGAGTTTCTCGATGGTGGAACTGAGATCATCACTCTGAAGAAAAGAACAAACGTTTTTGTTACAGTGAGGCGGAATATTCAAACGAAGAGCCACTTGAAATAGGGTCTGCTAATACGTATTAGTCTGATATCTATTTCACTGGTTTAATGACTTCACTCTACAGTGAGACCCCTAAAATACTGGAAGTGCACTAGAATCCGTCCGGCCTTGGGTAGGTTTGAAGTGACTAATAAACTAATGATTTCTCATATAAGTACAGTGGGACCGCTAAAAATAATTTATGTTAATAGATTTTGATTCGATTCCCATTTCTTGGCAATCGGTATTTTTTCCCGAGTTTCCTATGTCTTTCATAGTTTCTCAATATATCAGTACCTCTCTTCTGTGTTGATTTTGATTATGAAATAACTTATAAATATATCTCGCGTTTTGAAAAATTGTGTGCGCGTGCTTTGTGAGAGCAAAGTACACAACAGACAGAGTGACTGACGGACTGACTGGAATAGAAATTGCTTTTTTTATGGGGTCGTTACCTGGTCTTTTCGTAGCTCGTAGTCCCTAAGAAGCGACTCATTGCCAAGAAGACCACACTTTTGTCGAAGTTTGACGTTTTCTATTCGAAGAGCGTCACGGACTTGTTTAGTTCGCGTTAGTATGTCCCTTTTCTGTTAAACGGGATGAATAGATACATAACAGGATGAATGAGTGGATGGATAATGGGAAAAATAATTTACTGAATGTGATGGAAAGGGGATGACATGGGAAAGGAATGGACAAGATATGATTAAATAGAAAGGGATAGGATAGGAATAAAGAAAATTGAATGGAATAAGATGAGGCGGAATAGCATAAGATGAGATTGGTGGAATTAGAAGAGATTATTCTCCCTATGCACAAATCACCTAAATTGGAATTCGAACATCGAGCGATTTTTAGCTACAGGTTTTTTTGGCCAATGCCTACCCTAGAAAAGCCGCAATGACTTTTTAAAGGGATGGCTGGAAATGGTAGAGTTGGAATGAATGGAATCTAAGATTCTGTGGCGGCACATTAATAGACCTCGGCTCGGGCATAATGTTTTCCCATTGAAAATTATAATGAAAATAAGACCCTTTGTTTGAAGTTTAATTATTTTCACGTGTGTTTTAATGCACAACCATTAAACAAAGAAATGATACTCTAG